GGAAACCATAGGTACAACTGCCTGGAAAACCTCGACACACCATAATACAAGTTCAACCAACATGGATAATTGTTCAACACACATGCAAACTATTTCGACAAACATGGATACTAGCTAGCTCGACACACCAAAATACAAGTTCAACCAACATGGATATTTGTTAGACACACATGAAAACTATTTTGAAAAACATGATACTAGTTCGACACACGAGAATATAACCACCCTACATTGTCGGTATAACCATTTCTGCAACATCATCGTCCCACTCACTAGGCTGGCCATCTTGTTGACTACCGAGTACCTGCCTGAGCACATTTAATAATTTCAATCTCTTCCCATAGACAACCATCTTTCGACGGCGTTCTTTCCTATTCTTGAATAACTAGCTAGATTGAGAGGGTCTTGGACTTGTAACGTTCCTTGTCGTGGCTCCTTGGATTACTCTTATCCTTGAAAACCAGCCCATTAATCGGTCCAGACCCTCCTACAATGTTAGAGACTTCAGTACTGCGTAAGTTTATATTAAATTCTCACCATGTACAACTCATATTTGATACACTTACCATCCTGGCGTCCTCAAAGTTCAATAGAAACCCATAGATGCTTCGATCTTATCCACATTGATATTTCGAGTGCATATAAGACACCTTCTTGATGGTTGATGTTGCTTTCTGACTATATTCGATGATTATAGTTGTTTGATATGGGTTTATCTATTGCTTGCTTGACTGAATCATAGGTGCAGTATGTCACACATGTCGTTGAGAATGACATTGTAAAGCGATATTAGTTGGTTGCAAAATGTTATCAATGTTATTGAAATTCTTAGTAAGAGGCCATGATTGGTTAGGTATGAACATGATGTGAAACGAATCGTTAACAAAGATGTTGTAAGTCAATGATAATGTTATTGGACCCGTTAATGAAGATGTGATGTAACTTTAATAACTATTAATTCATTCATAAGCGTTGATGAGAAAAGTGTAAATCGTTAACAATTGAACTAAAATCGTTAATAACGTAATCGTAAAGCATTGATAAGTATATTGAAACTGTTAATATTGATGAGGTATATAAAATATAATTCCTTTCATAAACGTTGATAATGTCATTGCAAAAAGTAAATAATATCATTGCAAGTCGCCACGAAGAGAGTGGACATTTTTAGTTTTGAATTTCCATATTTAAAATATTGAATATTAATTTTGAATTTCCATTTTGAATTTTATATTTCATTAAATTGATTTATCTTATTTGCCCTTTTAGATCATTGAACTTGAACCTTGCTTTTCTTTCTCCTCTTGCTATTGGGCAAGAAAATTTTATGAAACTCCATTAGTTTTAGGTTTAAGGACATGATCCAACCTGCCTTTTCTCCCATCCAGTGTCCATTGGAGTTGACAGCTTACATTGATGTTGATTGCGCTTAGGGATGGCAATTATGCCCAAATCCATTATGTTTGCCTATCCAACCCAATTGGGTTGGGTATGAAACCCAAATATGAGGTAAATGGATAGAGTTTGTTGGGTTTATACACATATCCATTTATTTGGGTTTGGTTGGGTTCTTAATTCATGGATTTGTAGCCATACTTATATGCAAATTACAGTATGATATCTAGACTCAATAGATCTTTGGATTTAGTACTTAATACATATAAATCCTAAAAATATTGATGAAAAATTATATTTAGTACATACAAGTTTTGTCCCTTACATTTTGATATCTAAACTTTTTTAAGTTTTACAAATAGATTCAATTTTGTACGTGTATATCCCAACACGTACAAAATAAATTTTATGAGTTGAGCTATAATTTTGATTGTATTGATGACATATATGGCTGTTTATTCATTAAAAAAAATAGAAATTTGTACGTGTAGTTAAAACAACCTCAAGTAAATGGGCATCCACCCATTTAGAGTATGGAAGCAATACACATACCCTATTTAAGCTAATCTACAAATTTCACTTTCGTATATACTTTAGTACTTCACACATACCCTAGTCCCTACCCATAATCAATGAGTTTACTTGGGTTTGGGTAAAATTATCAATGGATTTGTAATTGTGATCCCTAATTGGGTTGGTTGTCAATTATCAAGGAGGTCGGCCACTGGTTACTACATTCACTTGGGTAGTGCTCTTGTCTGTCTCGTGGCATGCCAAGAAGCAGCATGTCGTTGCCTGCTCATTAGCTAAGGTAGAATATCATGATATGTCTAGTACTACTAATTAAGTTCTTTGGCTTTGTTTTCTACTTAAAGAGTTACAGGTGCCTCAACAAAGTTCAACTGCCTTCTATATCGATAATCAAGTTGCGCTTCATATATAGCTAATCCGATTTTTCAAAAATGAACTTAGCATGTCGAAATGGATTGCTATTTCGTACGAAAACAGGTTAGTTCTGGGGAGATTTTACCCAGAAGGTTGGACACCATTTTAGTAGGTTGACATATACACTAAGCCATTGGGTGCATAGCAATTCATATTTTATTATCCAAACTTGACATTCGAGATCTTCATGTTTTAGTTTGAGAGGAGAGTATTGGACTTATTTAAACATCTTTGTTTTATGGGTTAACATTTTAGTTTGGCCCAAATTATGGACAAACTTTCTACTTTGGCCCGTGGTATCGGAAATTGCTATTCTGGCCTAAACTATGTAACATACTTTCTTATTTGGCCCGGAGGTGGGTTTGACCGTCAAATTAGCCGGTTAACCGAGTTTACCGTTAGCCAAAGTCCACCTCACTTGCCACGTCAGCTATCAGGAAATAAAAAATTAATTTTTTTGAATTTTTGAATTTTTGAATTTTTTGAATTTCTAAAATTAATTAAAATAATTTGGAGAGCTCTTTTAATTAATTCTTTTCGTTTATTATTTTTATTGTTATAAAATTCAAAATTAAAAAATTAATTTTTTATTCCCTGATAGCTGACGTGGCAAGTAAGGTGGACCTTGACTAACGGTCAACTCAATTGACCGTTCAATTTAATGGTCAAACTCATGTCCGGGCCAAATAAGAAAGTATGCTACATAGTTTAGGCCAGAATAGCAATTTCCGATACCACGGGCCAATGTAGAAAGTTTGTCTATAGTTCGGGCCAAATTAAAGTATTAACCCTTGTTTTATTGTTGTGTCTATTGCAACCCTAAGATAACAGTTTTACCATTGCTTCAAATATAGTGAAACCAAAACATGAGAGTTATGCTCTCCGTGGACTAATTCCGGAAAACACATAAACTCCTCGTGTTCTTTACTTTTCCGCAATTGTCAAATTCTACTTATTATTTTATGATTATAAGCTTCGTACAATTTCATTATTAACATTTCATGTTGCGAATATTAAGTTGTATGATTTTATTATTAACGACGTATAATAGCGGGAATTCATTTTAGATATTGATGCATGAACTAGATCAAAATAGTAATAGTTGGAATTCATTAAAATCAATAACAATTAACGTAAACATTGTTAATGATGCAAAGTAACAAGTAAAGCGTCGTTTAGAATGCTAATCAGAATTAGTCCAATATGGATTCATGGAATGTCCTCGCCGTAAGGTTACTAGTGAAGGAGAAAATGAAAATGATCGATCATCCAAGAAAATTTTATGTATGACGAGGTCAGAGGCAGAGTTGGAGAAGTTGTGATTCTGCTGGCCAATTGTGGCGGAGTGAATGGTAGAATTTGCAAATTCTGGTTCCAGGAAAAAGAGACACACTACAAAAAAAAAACTGCTTATGACGTTATTTTTAAATGTCCCTTAAAGATGTCAAATTGTCAGTGTAGTTTTGTGCCGGCATTTATAAAAAAATGATAGCTAATTGCATCGAAATGTATTTTTTTATTTTTATCGCTTAAAGTTACTGCGACATCTACCAAAAAATATCGGTACCTACATTATCCGACATTTATTTTGACATATTAAAATGTGACTATAGAACCTTGCGATATTTACATAAAAATGTCGGTACCTACATTATTCGACATTTATTTCGACATATGAAAATTTGACTATAGAACCTTGCGACATTTACAGAAAGTGTTGGTACATATATCGTCCGACATTTTATTTCGACAGATGAAAATGTGACTGTAGAACCATGCGACATTTATAAAAAAATGTTGGTACATGTATCTTCCGACATTTTATTTCGATAGATAAAAATGTGACAATAGAACATTTCGATATTTTTACACAAAGTGTTGGTACATATATCTTCCGACATATGAAAATGTGACTGTAGAATCTTGCGAAATTTACAAAAAAACATCTATGTCTACATTTTAGCACATATCAAATTGTTTCTGAAAAACTTTACGACATTTACCGAAAATGTTGGCACCTACATTTAAGCATGGAAATTATAATGAGAAATAAATCAAATAACCATAAGAAAAAATGTTGGCACTCTAGACTCTAGAGTGGTCACCAGTAAGCATGGAAATTATAATGAGAACTAAATCAATATAACCATAAAAAAATCCTTTTAAAAATATTGTTGAAATTTCTTAAGTTACCCTTAAAATTCGGTTGATGATCTGATCCTAGCCGGGGCATGTACGAGACCAAGTCGTTGGTTGGACACGCAATTCCAGATTGCTAAAAGTCACCTTCATCAGTATGCTTCCAACATCAAAGTACTATTCTGTTGCAATTCCATAATTTTCTCTTTTTTCATGGTTCGAACGAATTAATGCAGTTGCAATTCAATAATTTTCTCTTTTTCACGGTACGAACGAATTAATGCAGTTGAGACTACTTCATTCAAAGATCAGATTTTGTTGCCCTAGTTAGCTAGCTAGCTGCAGGTATTGACACCGTCGTCGTCATCGTCGTCATCATCATCATCATCATCAATTCAAGAGAAGAGATCAATCGTATTCGTATATTGGTGGATTAGATTTAGGGGAGTTACACAATAAAAAGAGCAAAACAACAATAACAACAACAACAAAAAATGGCCGACGAAATAGAGATGTCGAAGATGGAAGAAGGGCAAAGTAAAAGCGTGGCATCCAATCTCTGGTCATCGGCGGAAACGGTGAAGCTCCTACAGAAGTTGTTTGCGGAGGTGGTGGGGACGTACTTTGTGATCTTCGCCGGGTGCGGGGCGGTGGCGGTGGACAAGATGTACGGCTCTGTTTCATTCCCAGGGGTCTCAGTGGTGTGGGGCTTAATTGTGATGGTCATGATCTACTCCGTCGGCCACATCTCCGGCGCCCATTTCAACCCCGCCGTTACCGTCACCTTCGCGATCTTCCGACAGTTCCCTTTCAAACAGGTAAAAGGTTACTCCTTATATCGATACCACTCTAACAAGCAAACGAGATTTCAAATACGATGGATTTGTGTAATACATTGCGCTAACTGTATATCGTCTGCTGCAGGTGCCACTTTATATTTTATCACAGGTATTAGGGTCGGTATTGGCAAGTGGGACATTGTATCTGCTTTTCGACGTTCCAGAAGAGGCTTACTTTGGTACCGTACCGGTCGGACCTAACCTGCGTTCTTTTGTTCTTGAGATCATCATCTCCTTTCTCCTCATGTTCGTCATTTCTGGAGTTGCAACCGACAATAGAGCGGTTGGGGAACTAGCAGGAATTGCTGTTGGAATGACAATCATGCTAAACGTGTTTGTTGCCGGGTAAGTGATTATTGATGGGCATAATATGCTCTTATAATATGTATTTTTCTCAAACATGTTTTTTTCTACTTTGAATCTCATCAAACATGCCCTCTAGCTACTATCAAATATTTCTCAAACATATCCTTTCATTAGTTTCCACCCAAAATCCGTTAAATCTGGTCCGATCAATCTACCCAACCAAATAATAAGTGAAAAACAATTGTACAACACGTTTATTTCTAACTTATCCACTGCACCTCCCTATTACCAACCCCAAATCAAGCTTGTCGAAGCAAAAAAAATCCCTTCCCTCTCTTCGCATGTTCCCCATCGCAACTCCTCTATCCACGCTCGCCCCATCAACTACTGCTTAATTAACCCATCTAGTTTAAAAATTCCCCTTTCCAAATCTGAACCTAAAGGTTCGTCTCACCTCGCAAGTAACAACTAACGAGTAGTCACGTTCTTTGGTTGAGGCCGCAACATAGAGTCGATGGTGATTGAGGGGAAAATGGATGGAGTTTCATGGATGTATCGCATATTTCACAAGTGGATCATTCAATGAAGAATAACTTTGCGGGGGATATTGTCTACTATAGGGGGTGATTCAAGAAGAAAAAAAAACAAAGGGGAAGGGGAAAGGGAAAGAAAAGAACAAAGGAAATCATGGAAGGACAATGAGTTAAAATTATTAGAAGGGTAAAATTGTGAATTTCTTCTATTCTGTTGGGTCGATCTTGGTTGGATGAGACGTAACGATTTTTCGATTGGAAAAACTAACGGAAGGGTATGTTTGAGAATTTGTTGATAGTAAAAGGGCATGTTTGATGTGATTCAAAGTATATGGGCATGTTTGAGAAAAAGGCATAGTAGAGGGGGCATATTGTACATATAACCCAAATATCAACTACTTGCTTGTGTTTACCAAATTGGTGGTTTCAATATTTGCAGGCCAGTGTCCGGGGCGTCGATGAATCCGGCAAGGAGCCTGGGTCCAGCTATTGTGATGCGTATATATAAAGGAATATGGGTCTATATTGTTGGGCCCTTTGCGGGCACGATTTTGGGTGGGTTTGCTTATAATCTGATTAGATACACCAACAAACCTCTTAGTGAGTTAACTAAGAGTGCAACGCTTCTCAGGAGTGTTAGGGGTTATCCCTGACCCTCACTAATTTTGTCACCACATTGTTTTTGTAGTTAGCAATCCAAAACTTGACTATACATAAAAAATTTTTTTGGGGTGTGATGACTTATTATGTGCTAGTGATTGTTAGTTGTAGCAAGGGAAAGTTTATATTTCTAACAGATTAAAGAGAGTTATTCTTCTAAAATCTTTTTCCCTAACTATAAATGATGTTTTAGGACAAGTTGAAAACTTGAGCGTATAGGCAATTTGCACGTACGCGAGTGTTCAACATTGTGAAACTTCTAACTTAGCTTATATAACCTGTTAGGGTTCCAGAGAAAGAGATGAAAATAAGAAGACACCATGTTTGTAGGAATTGGTAGATTGCCTCTCCTCTTGGAGAACTTCTCATTATGCAATACCTAGCACTGTAGAATTGACAGTAATTGAACTAACAAATTGAATCTACCAATGCTCACAAGCCAAGTGGCAGATGAATGCTAATTACAGTAACTAATTACACGATGGTAGACCGACAACGTATTGACCCGATTCAAGTGAAAAAAAGCTTAGACCGAGCATCTTCATCTTGTTCCTCGTTGGCTACTGCTGAATCCAAATGCAATAAGGATTGTCTATGGATGTTTTCTAGTATCTTCAATCTCTCAGGCACAAGCAACCATACTATCCGTTACATTCACACGACCGTAAGCATATGTTGTGTACTTTACCTTGGATAACAAGTAATTGAATCTCTCCACAGACAATCCTTTTGTGAACATATATGCAAGTTGTTCTTCTGTACCAATGTGTAACAGTTTAAAAAGTTCTAATTTTAATATTTTACGAACCACATGACAATAGATATGTGTTTTGTGCATTTATGAAAGATAGGATTCTCGGCAATATATATTTTGACTATTTATTATATAACACTTGCACAGGTTCTAGATGTGAGAGTTGTGCCAATACAAGATAGAATGCAAGTAATGATTTCAACCATTGAAACTCACATGAAAGTTGTGCCAATACTCTGTATTCCGGTTATAATAAAGATTGTGAAACTGTCTTCTGCTTCTTGCTTTCCAAGTTAAGAGTGAATCACCCAAAAAATGTAGTAACTAGTAACAGATTTCTTAGTATCAGCACATGTGGCCCATCCTGAATCACATCATACTCTCAATATTTTTTACAGAGGTTTTACTCTCCCCTATCATCAACGGTAAACATTTGAATATTCCCTTCTCCTAAATTTCCAGAAAAGAAAAGATAACATTCAAAGTTCGTTTCGTCTCCCGTCTTCCATCCTATGGAGGGACCGAGGGAGAGCTAATTCTTTCCTTTCCAGCTCCAGCTCCAGCTCCCATCTAAACCCGAACCTTACCTCCGATCTGTCAACGTTCGAATTGGGGATGCGGAGTCCAAACCGATCTCCGACATCATTTTATTGAATCTACTGAATCTTTGGGGTTCCTGCAGCTGCTACTATTGCCATATTTGGAGCAAAAATGCAGCGACGGTACTGGAACGATACATTGATTGGACAGAATTATCAGCAATCCGTTGGGTGAATTGATCTCATGTTGTTCGATATTTTTCCACAACTTGCCTTAACTTTAAGCTTTTCTTTGCTCGTTTTATTCAAGAAAGAGCTTCAATCTCTGCCTGCCCATGCTGAAGTTTGAGCTGTTGGTGTGCCATCATGAATGTATAACCTGAATGTGTGACACATAACTGGTGTGAAGCCTTACTGGACGCAAATGCAATGTGATATCTGCATTCGTGGATTGATCATTTGTTGCTAGTTGTATTGAGATTCTCGATTCAGTTAAACTTACAGTGACACCCTGCTGCATAACTTGGATGCTGATCCAGTCTAATAGGCTTCAAAGTGGCCAATAGTGTGGTGGAGGATTGATTGACAAACACCCCTCTTTCATTATTGTCGATACGATTCATTTCATATCGACCATCTGGGTTTTCAATGCTTAGCTGTGTACATTGCTTGAATGTGAATTAAACACATAGCAGAAGTAACATTCGATAGTGTGATTAGCTAAGTTTTGATCTGGTTACTGTTTAAACTATGTCTCCCAAGATTCTGCGCGTGCTTCTTACGCGTCTCTCTTTCTATTTGGTTAATTAGCTTAATGGCTTTAGACGGCATTGCCCTGGCCTTTTATGCTTTCTTTATCAGAAAAACTGCTTGCTTGACCAGATCCTAATTTTGAATCTTTTCTACCTTCCTTGTTTTCTTGTATTAGGTGCTTCAAGAAACACATCAGTTGTTGTTGTAACACTAGAGAGCAGTGAAGTATATATTATTGCTAGCTTGTCTTCTAGGGCTGACACCCAGGTGATATATATTGATCCAACAAGCCCACTTCGGTACACTGGGAAGCCAGGTGTTGATGTTTTTAGGTCCGAAAATGAAGCTTTTGATCACATTACAAATGCATCAAAATGGCAATGCAGGAGCACAACCCATGCGAGGGAAATTCTGGGTTATGCAGCCCTTGGAAGCTGTGGTTTGCTTCTTGTAGCTACAAAGTTAACATCCAGCATTCCGAATTTGCCTGGTGGGGGGTGTGTATACACTGTGACAGAGACTCAATGGATCAAAACATGACTTCAAAACCCTCAACATTAAGGTAAAGGCGAGCTGAAGAATGTTCAGGAGTTAACTGAGCTTGACATTGATGGGAAACACTACTTCTGTGAGACAGCAGACATAACTCGACCTTTTCCCAGTCGTATGCCTTTGGAAAAGCCTAATGATGAATTCGTATGGAATGGATGGCTATCAATGCCTTTCAAAAACATTTGTCTTGCGCAACATTGTGTCATTCTACTGCAGGTTTTTCTGGAACTTTATCATGTTTATACCTACTATGATTGACTGTTAGTGCTATTAAGAACTTTAGAATCTTGTTTGTGGCTTTAGGCTTATGCTTTTTTTCTTCAGAACAGCTACCGCTACTAATATCTTGATAGGAAGAATGCTCTAAGGAAAAATCTCATCGGATCTCCTTGTCTCTTAAGAATTAGACATCCTCATTTATGACTTTTCCTTTTCTTGGAAGCATAGTTGTGTTAGCATTCTCTAACATCCCTGTCTCTTATCCCCATTGATAGATCTCATGGATGTAGCATGTTTAGTACCTACATCCACATCTTTGGTACATATTAACTAGCACTCACGATTATATCAGCAAGCCTTCATCATTGAAGCCCAACGGGTTGATTTGGAATCTGCTATTGTATACTATTCACACTGGAGTTTTTCGATTAATGGGCTAGTTTTTAATCCTACTCACATGTTTGCCAGCTCTTGTGAGAAATTAATAATTACATATATTGGTAATATATGTTTTTCATCGGTTGAGGTATAATGAGCCATCAACGTAGGAGTTTGATATCTAAACAGTGTTGTTCATCACTAATCTCTATATTATCTACTCCATGGTACTGTTTGTAGATGTGATATAAAGCTAATCTCGAACTTTTACTTCATGTCCACTGGCAGCATAGTAAACAAAGAGCCTTATGGCTCTCTTTTTATTTGTTGGAGTAATTCAAGTTAGCATAAAATTCATGTGATTGTGGGTTTGATTGTCCATTTCGTATGAGATATATTTCACTGAAGTCATCTGAAACGATAATTATGTGGGAGCGTTCTGTGTAAGAACACATCAAAATGGAGCAATACGGTTCAACTGTGCTGATTCGTTGGATAGAACAAATGCTGCTAGTTACTTTGGCGCCCTCCAAGTTTTTGTGGAGCAATGTAGAAGGCTGGCCATATCTCTAGATAGTGATCTGGAATATGGCCATCTGTCTCCCACTAACTATGGTGGTTACACAGCTCCCTTGCCACACTTTATACCGGCTCTAAGGCAATGCATAGCCAAATATTAAGCATATTTACTGAAGAAACATCAAAATTTAAACAGCTCTCGGCAGCTCAGAATATGAAAATCACTTTGCAGATAAGATATAAAAATGCAGTAGTTGACAGCTCTAGCAACTGGAAATGTTTCTTGGAATGAGGCTTTTCAATCATCTACCTTCGATTCCAGTCCAGGCTTTAAATGTATGTCATGGTTAATTCTGTACACAACTATTCTATGCTTTCTCCCTGACACATGTTTTCTCACTTATCCTTGGCCCTCACTTATCCAAGTTGTTTAGTGTGGAATAATATGATTGAATGGTCATTGTGATTAGGAGATTATCAGAATGACCTAGCCATAATTTGCTATGACTGATTATCTGTTTCTTGCTGGTAATTACAGGTGTCTTCTAGACCCACTGGTTTATCTCTCAAGCCTGAGACCAACATCTCCCTGAGTTCCACTGACGGATCTGTTCTTTTGAGCTTCAAGAGGACAAATCTTACATGGGTACCTTGAATATACTCTCTTCCTTATGTTTCAAAGGCCCAGCTTGGAGGACCAAAAGGCAATAGTTTTCCTTTCTTGCATGGTTTAGTGCATGTATTGGACGTAGACTTTTGTTCTTATTTCATGCTTCCATTGTTTTTTTTTATCTTTATTTTTCAGATTTTGCATGAATGCTGCTCTGTTTAACAGGTGACTCAACAAGATGCAGATGTGGTTGAGCTCTTTATCTATCTTGGGGAGCCTTGTCATGTCTGCCAGCTTCTTCTAACGGTGTCCCATGGTACAGATGACTCAACTTCTCCATCAACCGTCGATGTCAGGACAGGGCGCTCTCTAGATGGGCTTAAGTTGGTTGTGGAGGTTAGTGGGTCTCTTTAATCTTTCCATTTGATGAGATGAGAAGTGGTTTCTGTTCTAGAACCCTGGAATCAAGCAAATTTTATATTTTCATGGCTACTTTGTTGTGGGATTTTGAAGAGGAAAAAGAAGGAGAACGAGTGCGCCAGGGAGGGGGGGATGCATTATATATTGGGAGAATATGCAGAGTTGCAACCACCCTTGCATTCCTTGCTCAAGTTTCTCATGAAGACAAAATTAACGCTGCTATCGACCTTAGGAACATTGATGATGATGTTATAGATTTTTGGAATATCTCTGGAATTGGGGAGTATTGTTCTGGTGGCCAGTGTGAAGTTCGTGCTGAAAAAGGAACTTCTCGCCATTTTTCTCCTGCATTGTCATCCGCAGGAAATGAGCAATCAATATTTAAGTGCTCTCAGTGTAGACGGAAGGCATGTAAAGTGTGTTGTGCTGGAAAAGGAGCTCTTTTGCTGGCGAGCTACAACTCAATGGATGCCAGCTACAATGGACTTGAGAGTGGAACAAGCTATGGGAGCCAGGCTGACAGTTCAGCTAATCATGTAGTGCCAGTAGATGGCTTCATTTGTAAACGATGTTGCCATGAGATAGTGCTCCATGCTTTACTCCTGGACTATGTAAGAGTGTTAATTAGCTCGAGAAGGAAAAACAGGGCAGATAATGCAGCTTGTCAAGCTTTGGGCCAGGTTATAGGATCTTCTTACACAAGCTCCTATACGGATAGGAATCACTTGCTGAATTCCCTTTTGCTAGCTTCTTTCACTCAGTATGATTGAAAGTCTTGACTTCTTTGTTTTTTTTTGGTTACTTTATTTCTCACATTAGGTTAAGCCTGATCAACATTGATGTTATAATCTCTATGAAGTTACTCTAATTGTTTGCACTTGCGTGTTCTGTGAATTTAATGATGCCCTTGGAAGGTAACAACTATAATCCCTTCTTCGAATATGTATAGAACAATAACAAATTAGTTCCACTTGGATATATGCATAATTATTTGTTTCATTAGATTACAACGTGATTCTTCTCTCCTTGAAAGTTTTTCCTGTCCAATGAGTAACTTAAAGTCAGAATTTAGAAGTTCAACTATGACGTGTATTCGAATTGAAGATTGAAACCTAGTTATGGTTATATCACTGATTTGCTGCAATTAACTATGAGGCGAGGAGAATATAAATCTGGCTGCACTGAATATTACTGTTTGTTGGAATGAATGGATGAGATGTGACTGGTCCCAACCCAAAATGCTCTAGTCTGTTGGCTGCTAGATGTCAGCGATAATGGGAATTACGATTTATATATTTTTACCTTCATAGAGCTATTTAAGTGTTGGAAAGAATTAATGAGGATTCGGCTTCTCCGCTGGATAATGTGCAAGTTACCACTCCTTTGTCCTTGCTGAGAATTTGGTTTATTCATGGCTTATCAGACTAGAAAGTTGGGAGTTCGAAACCCACTACTACCAGAGTGTGCTGCATGTATGAGTAGGATTCTTAGTTAGCTGCTGCCTCTTTTTTGCATCTTAATCTATTCTTACATTCCAAAGAATCACAATTAAATTCATTATCATCTCTTGTATCTGGCAAAAGAGGATTGACTTTTATTAATGCTCTAATCTCTGTTACATGCAGCACTAATTTTTCTATTAGAATTTTTTATCGATTTTTTTCTAGTCCTCTATGCCCTTTGTTAGTGACTGAAATTGTATTATCCGGTTACAGGTTGAAACAGCTAAAGATTCAGCTCCATTTATGTCATTACTTGCCCCGTTGAACTCTGGATCACTTCACTCATATTGGAAGGCTCCTCCAACGACCACTTCTGCTGAACTTGTTATTGTTCTTGGAAGCCTCTCCGATGCCAGTGGAGTTGACTTGCTCGTAAATCCCTGTGACTATTCTGCAGCTGATACTCCCAGTGTATGGTCACCTAATTTATAATACTTTTCCATGTATTTACTATATCATGGTTAGAGTAGTTAATGCAATTGATGTTTGATTGGGATATGTTTCTGATATGTTTTATTCAAGCAATGAATTTCTTTCTTCAATAGTAGTCTCGAGCTTTAGGAGAATGTAATTCCCTTTCACAACCATGGCTGTAATATCTGAGTGAACCAGTCATTGATCTGCATTTTTTTTTTCTTGTGATTGTCTGAAGGTTTGAGGAGGGGGGTTAACTTCTTCTTTCTTGGGCTACTAGGCCATGTTTTAAAATAATCTCCGGCTGCTAAGATAATATGGGTCAGCTTTCCCGTTCAGTTTTCAAAGTTGTCTACAGCCAGGAATTGTTCGGGATTATTTTCTCAACTAGGGGAGGGGTTGCTGCAGTTTGATATCTTTTCAGTGACTGATATTTTCATATTTCTTTACGTCTCTCGTCTCTCGTCTCTTATTTGTGAAGTCTCTGGTGCTGGGTATGCTAGTATCTCATCAGTATCCTTGTGTGTTTCCTTTTGAACATGGCAACTGAAGGTCATTTTATGGGTCACTGCTCTTGTGATAATAGCTTCAAGTATGAGCTGGCAATAAACTAGAGACTGAAGAAAGGTCATGTGTGACAGTGACTAGAAAGACTAGAGGGTGACAGTGAAGTACTCAGGCATGTGAAATTTTCATTTAAGAATACCGTCAGATGTAGGATCATCTGGATACTGCTACATCTTCCACAAGCGGGATCAAGTTCAGTCAATATTCAGAAAGACTTCAATCTGTTATCCCTTGACGAGAACCCCTTTGCCGACGTAGATAGACATGCTTCTTGTGGTGGAGCACATGAAATTCTCCCCTGCCTTCATGCCAGGATAATCCTAGTTCTTGGAAAGACTGTGAGAAAAGAGGCAGGATTTGCACCTCAAAGTAATGACTCCATCAATTTGAGTGGTTGGCTCGATAGACCTCCACAACTGAACAGATTCAAGGTACCAAAATCAATTCCTTTCCTGTCTGGTGAAGTGTGGTTTATGATGTGTATTTTTCAACATTTGCTTAAAAATATTTAAACAATTTATTTTCAGTTTTAGCAAAAGTGGAGTTAATGGCGTATGGTATATTTTTTGCTAATAAATTGGTAATTGATCAGATGGTATAGAGTTTGTGTAATGATTAAGGAAATGAGTGGGTTTGAAAGATGACTTATAACGTTAAGAATGGTATTTTATTTCAAATGACTGAAGTTGGATAGGAATTGTTTTTGGTAAGGTGGCTTTTGAATTTTTAATCATTCTCAGGGTCCATCAGCTGTTCGAACAAGTTATATGGAAAATGTGTGGTTGCTTCAAATATGAAATAAGAGTAAAGAAAAATAGCCAAACGAACACATCCTTGTCTCTGCTGCACTAATCATCCTTTTTGCTTACCAGGTACCAATTGAGGTCGAGAGGCTAATCGACAATGATCTAACCTTGGAACAGTGTTTGCCTCCAGCTTCTCCTTTGCTTGGTGGATTCAGGCTTGATGCTTTCAGTGCAATAAAACCTCGGATCATCCATTAACCATCTTCAGATGTAGACATGTGGGATACATGTGCAACATTCCTGGAAGACAGACACATATCTCCAGCTGTGCTGTATATTAAAGTATGTGCATTCCAGGTATAACTAGTCACACCATCGTTATTCTTCTTTAATTGATGCTAGCAAAAATTGGCAAAATTAGGGCGAACCAGATAGTTTCTGAGATATTAGGTTGCAGTTGGTGTGAGAAAAATAAATGTTGGAAGTACTGGAAACCATGGGCAATAGATGTTGAATGAGGCAATAGTTGTCCTTTTACACTAATCAATGTGCATACTGGTAATGGAGATTCTATTGCATACATGGTTGTATTCGTACTGTTAGTTTTTTGGGAGTGTAGGATGCTGGTCAACCATGGTTATGATGATGTAATACCAGCTGTGGTTATTAGAGACCGAGAAATGGCTTGTTTTGCTGTAACAAGCTCCGAAAAAGACTACATGTCAGGAATAGGTTTTATTTGGTTACTTCACCAAACAAGTTAACAAAAATCACAATACAAGTAATGTGGTCCTTTGTTGGAAATGTTTTAAGTAGTGTTTCATCAGTAAAACGTACTGTGTCCTGAACAAAACTTCATAAGCTCAAGAGTAACGTACCGAGTGGAATATGGAAAAGTAAACGGGTGCTGTTAACCACTTTCTTGTTGTTGCCAAAATGAAGTGAAAGGGACAGTAACAAAGGTTTGCCCTAAGGTACTGGTTTGCTACTTAGCCCACTTAGTTGGGTTAACCATTTGGTACCCTTCCTTAACCGGTTATTTGCCCTTGGCTTTCTGGGCCATACCTGGTGTTTATTGCAATAATCGCTGTCATTCCCTTGGACCCATTGTCCAGGAGAGAACTGTAGCTGTAGCAGATAATCCGTAGAATTACTTTTTATGACGCCTACATTCATGCAGGAACCAAGCAAGATGATAACCATTGGAGAATATAGACTGCCAGAGGCCAACGCTGGGTCTGCAATGTACTTTGGTTTACTCATGACCCGGCAGAAGCTGATGACCCCGGAACGAGGACTCTACCTGTGGCAGGAGGTTTGTCATTGTCAAGTAGGGTTAAGCTGTATTACTATGCTGATCCGTATGAACTTGGGAAGTGGGCAAGCCTTTCAGCAATTTGAGATGAATCGTTGGAGGAAGAGGTTTTGTCAGCAGAATTGGCTAGTGGATTTTGCTTCTTTGTCTGCGTTGGTCTGTAGCTTTGGGAAGTAGCCATGTGTTGGGTGTTTGGGAACTGTGGGTAGACGCCGCATCAATGACGGATGGGATGGAATGACTTTCAGAGTAGCTTCTTATGCTTTGGTTGGTTGGTCCTTCAACATGGTAGTATTTTTACGCAAACCACATGGATTCAATCATTGTAGACGCAGTTGAGATTTGAGCCTTATTTGTCCGAGGGGAATGAAACTTAATTTTACTTTACCGAGTATCCAGAGATCCTGTCTCATTTTTTTTTTAATCCTAGGCAACCCAAAATGGAAAATATACAATGGCAATTGGCAACATCCAATTATTTTTCTATATAACTGTCTTGATAACTTGCATCGAACCTATTCAGGCCTATTTTAAATCTAATGAATATGACTAGCTTTTACCCGGTCCGTTGGCCGGATTACTTTAAGTTATCGACTCATATAATGAGAAATAGAGCTGAAGCGTGAGAGCATTTATTTTCGAAGTTTCGTTTTTGCCAATATATGGGTTGTCCGAATTGGAGACCAGAGAAGGGCCCATGAAAATATTTTGTCACATTCGAAATAGTTTTGGCCTACCTAACTTGTATTACCTAGAACTATGAAGATACCATAGTTTACAACCAAAAGATAAGTCAATGTCGAAAATCAAAACAACTAACACTTGCAGGAATACAAAGAAATTGCTTTTTTGGCCACCAAATTGGTTGCTCGGTTGTTTTATATGCCTATGAATTCTACAACAAAACGTTCATACTGCTACTGGAGTTGGCCAATTTCCTCGAAAATGACTCCACCTCTACCATCACGTATCTCCCAACCTCGTACATTATCAATGACTGCTTTTGCACTCCCCCTGAATACCACCTATGTTGCACCCTTTAACGATCACTATTGGATTGCCTCTCAGAGAGCCATAAATTCAGTTATATAGTGATATTAGATACCTACATATTGGAAGCCAGACAAAAATCACACTATACATCCTGTCTTTACAACTTATCACTCGGCTTCGAGTGAGAATTTGACAACACTACACCATCTATTTTCAGAGAATTTTATATTCAA